CCGAAACATCACGAAGCAGCACCGCCGTTGGGATTGCCTCGCGGACCCGGGTTGGACGGCCAGATAGTCTGCAGTGAGCACCACACCGCGAACCGCATGCAACGAACCAAAAACAGCACGGCCGTTGGGATTGCTGCGGAGACCCGGGTTAAACGGCCAGATAGAAGTTTCGGGAAAAAACTTCTATCTGGCCGTGCTACCCGGGGCGCTCGACAATCGCAACGGTCGTCACCGGTTCGGCCTGCGCCGACAATCTCACACGGAAGAAAAAGAAGATAGTTAGAAGAGGAGGAGGAGGGGAGAAGAATAAGAAGAAGAAGATGAGGGGGAGGACGACGACAAGAGATGGTGAAGAAGAAGAAGAAGAAGATGAGAGAGGGAGGAGGAGGAGGGATGAAGACGTCGTGGAAGAAGAAAAGCAGAAGAGGTAGTAGTAGAAGAAGAAGAAGAAGAAGAAGAAGAAGAAGAAGAAGAGAAGAAGAAGAAGAAGAAGAAGAAGAAGAAGAAACCGAGAGGGGGAGGAGGAGGAGGAGAGAAGAAGAAGAAGAAGAATGAGCGGAGGAGGAGGAGGAGGGAAGAAGAAGAAGAAGAAGAAGAAGAAGAAGAACAGACCGACACTCCAAGTTGACGGGCGGCAGGGGTTGTCGGCAGGCAGGAGCACCGCGATGTAGGACGCTGGCGACGGGCGACATGACGACGACGGGCGAGTAAGGCTCCCAGGCAATGGCGACGAGGGGCAGCTACTTCGACGACGGGCGACTTGACGACGAACGCAGCTGGCTACAGCAGGTGTCGACGCCCGTTTGGACAGCGAATGCAGGCCGCCCCAGCCAGTGGCTTGTTCAGACGGGGCCTCCGTTTTCCCTCCAAAAACGAACGGCCCTCTGGCCGTTGATCATGGATGATCGACGGCCAGAGGGCCGTCCTAAATTCAAAAAAAAAAAACAGGCCTCACGGGCCCGACGCGCCGTTTTCTGGCCGTGGTCGGACCTGGTAGGCCCTGGGGAGGCGAAATCTCCCCGAATCGGGGTCGGGAACCCCCCGCCAACAAGGTGTGCTAAGGGGGCCCGATCCCCAACCGGGCCGCCCGCCCGCCCAGGCCGCCCGGGACCTACCCCGGGCAGGCGCCAGTCGGCTGGGCGGCCCGGATCCGTACGCAGGAAAAAAAGTCGCTGAGTTGGCCGAGGCAAAAACTCAAAAAAGGTGCTGATGGGAATAACGAGTCCTCACGGGGCCCTATCAGACCACATGTTCTGGGCAGAGGCCCCCAGCAAGCCGAGTGCCCGTCCTAAGTGAAGGCGGGCCTGAATATTCATCAGAGGACACTTTCATATGTGTGGGTGTTCAGTCTCTTGCAACACGCAAGTTGGTTGAGTGGACGCGTGAGTCTCACTAAGCTGCGTCGTACAGTTGGCCCAGGCCTTGGCAGTTGCACCTGGGCACATATACACAAAGCAGGGCCGATACGTCATGAAGCGGCCACCGGCCTACGCAAAACCAGTACTGTCGACGCACCTACCCCGGGGTCCTGCACAAATGCAGCAAACGGCCCAAGTCCGGAGACTCAGGCCGTGCCCAACTGTAAAGGGCCCAGGCCCTCAACTGTAGTCTCGGACCTGGGCGCAGGGACTGAGGCCCAACCGGAAGCTACTGGAAGTTTCCAGCCAGGCCACACGCAGCATCCAGGAGGCTGCCACTTTCATACAGGAAGTGAGGCAGCCCAGGCCAGGCATTCTGGCCTGTGTAGGCAATGCAGACATGCTGCTGCGCTGCGGCCAAGGGCGTTGGAGGGGTGCATTGAGGTGAAGTAGGGCGCTGCAGGGCAGCGGTGTGTTGGCAGCCATAGCCGGGCTGCTGGGCGCTAGGGGGTAAGAGGGACCGATCTGGTGGTCTTCAAGGAAGGAGGCGAGTGTAGGTTATCAAGGTCTGATGAGGGTGACGAGATACGTACCTGGTGCATGAAGAGAGGTCGGCTATGGTGTTGACATCATGTACATTGGTCTTTGAGAGTCGAAGTGAGCCTGTTGCGTGAACACAGCTGTAGGTAGGATAGTCGAGTAGAGTAGGCTGGGCGCTGGGCGCCAGACAGAGAGGAGCGACTTTGGATACTGTGTTGGTGTGGCCTGAAGGCTTGAACATTGGCTCATTACTTCAATTGTATTGCTCTATTTGGATGGAATCTCGGTGCAATTGTGCTCTCTGCTTGTACACGACTACTTGGACATCTGTGTGATTTCGCAACTTGGTTTTCTGTATATCGTTCACACTCATATT